CCCCCCTCCCCCCAGCCCCCGACTGTACGCTACACACCCAGAGTTCTGGCTTTGTTTAGCCTCTGCCACAGTTAGCATCCCGGCAGCTGCATCCAGTTTAAAAGGGATTTTCCAACCTTTTCTTTAAAAGGACTTTAAATTACATTTTTCTGTTCCTTCTGTTTCTAAATAACTTTCAAATTCACACAAAAAAACAGCTATTCTTCAAGCAAACTACCAATAAATTTAATTAGTCCTAAGTGTGTATTTTAAGCAACAGCGCAGGTCGATGTATACACACAGATAAAACCTCATGTTAATTATGTGGTGGGAAATTCCTACTGGGAAAGCAGCAGGATGTTTGAAATGTAACTGATATCACTCGACTTGGTTTTTACTGCCATGGAGCGAGAGGCAGGGTCGCGACCCCTGACTGACTGCTCGTCGTGACAGCGGAGAGGTTGAAAGACTCGGCGTGGGCAATCGATGGGGAAAAGTCTTTAAATGCCCAGCCTGTAATCTACCTGGAAACACGGATGCTCGACAAAGAGCCATTCCGAGCAACCCGTGTGAGGACACGTTAGAAACTTCACCAGCAAACGGCTAAAACCGGGATCATTCCGAGTCCGAATTTCACTCACTGTCAAGCGTTGGATGCGAGCATAGCATCTCTGTATATAGTGATGTGTTTTAATACGTAGTGATCTCACATGGCATGTGTTTAGTGACCGTAGTGACGCTGGCAGACAGAATGAAGGGAAGCCAAAGGCACAGAAAGCTATTTGTCCAGCCACTGTCGGGAGGGTGGGGCTGAAGCCCACAGCTATCCATTTGACTCTGAGCCGTAATCAGTCACAGCAGGATCCAGGGGGACATTTCTGAGGCTCAGCCACCAACCGAACAAACTTGACACGAGGTCATCGATCACATGACCTACTCCTCAACCTATTACCCTTTCTGTCCAGTAGAGACCATCAATGCCAGGTCTACTTTTCCAGCGCATGTAGTGCCAATAAGCCAGTATGTTACAGGTTCCAAACAAGCATTTTACTTTCAGACCCCCCTGCCAAGCATCCTCAAAGCAATACAGTGTCCGTCCTGGGAGCTTGTTAGTGGGATTCTGGGATTGAAAGTCCACTGGCACACTCCCAGCCACCCCCCGCCCCACCACACACACACACACACACACACACATAAGGTACCACCCAGTTGGAGGGGTATGCTAATCCTGTTGGGTTTGGGTAGAGAGCTTTGCATTGAAGTCTGTCACTGTGTATGGGGAGGGGGCCCTTCGGCGGAGGCCCGGGGGCTTCCTGGCCACAGCAAAGTAGCCGCAGAGACCTGCAGATGAGGCGCGGAACGGGGCATAGATCCAACAGCCGCCCGCGAGCACCTCCCTGAGGCTGGAGGCACTCGCGCTCACACGCAGACCCCGGCGTGGACAGACCCCCGGCCGTCTTGCTGCATGTTTCCGCTTTTTGAGCGCGACTCACTGTGCAGGGCAGGGCTGCGTGTTGCAGAGGGGAGACGTTATCGCCGGCTTTGTCCGCGGGTCGCAGAGGGAGGCGCTGACCTGCGTGTGCTGATCCTGCAGACAGACGGCCTTTGTTGATATCCGACCTGAGGGTGAGGGTGGGGGGGGTGCACAGAGTAACCGCCTTGAGCTACACTTTCATCTGTGAGTCATACGCTGGAAGTTAAACTCACACTTAGACAGAGAAGACACACTCAGATATGAGAGCAGTTTAGTGAGCTCATAAGGGTGATTTACACTCAGGTCTGACACTACAGCAGGACCTGAGCAGTAAAATCATAAATTATGTACCAGGGGATTAAATGAGAATTTCTCATTGTATGACAAGATAAGAGTGACATGCATCTGTCTGACTCAGAGCAGGACGGGATGTGGCGTTAGAGCCGATTCCTGGCCAGCAAAGTGTACTATACGCCCTAATCTTTAACGGCAGGCTGTAAAAACGGAGTGCTTTCCCAGTTTCTGAAGGTAAAAACATGAATGTAGAAACTCATAAGTTACAGCAACCCCACAAGGGACGGTAAGAGTGGCAGAAAAAAATTAACAATATTAAGCAACAAGATGACAATTGAATTGAAATCCGGGCATCATGGCAACAGGACGGAGGGTATAAGTCATAATGAGAACTTTTCAGTCCCTCACAAAAGTCCCTGGCCTCAGTCCGAGGCACCCCCCCCTTCCCACCCCCCCCCCTTACACACCTCCCGCACATGAGGCCGAGCACTCAGACCGTATCACTCCCCAGGTGTAGCTTGGCTTCTTCTCGTCCATGGGGAGGGCGTACTCCCACGTCACCCCTGGATTTGTCCCCTGAAGAAGGATCTGATTGGGGGGGGGGGGGCAGATCAAAAGGGTGAGGCTGGTGGGGGTCGCCCCCTAGAGAAGCCGGTTGGTCCCGACATCCGACGTACCAAGATCACGGGACGCCACTGGCCTGCACGTGTGACGTCACAGCAGGAAGCCAGAGAGCTTCCAGTGGTTGAAGTTCATTTTCATATTTCCCATGATGCTCTCTTTTTCAAGACACACACACACACACACACACACAAGAGAGTGAACCTCTGGATATGAGCACAGGGTCAGCCATTCACCAAGCAGCCCTGGCGTTAAGGACTTTCCGAGGGTGTGGCGTGACAGCTTAAGAAAGACAGGTGTTTGGTCCCTAGAAGGGGAATTTTTAAATAAAAATCAGTGACTGCGATCAAAAAACTAAAAATGGTTAAGCTTAGGGCTGGGTAGGGGTTACAACTGTCATTGTTGAGATTAGGGGATAGGGTTAGAAATGAATGGGGAGACTCAATAAAAATATGAAAACAAACGTGTGTGTGTGTGCGCGCGCGTGTGTGTGTGTGTGTGTGTGTGTGTGTGTTTCAGACCAGCCACAGCTCCATTCAATTATACTGACAGTCAGACATGGAACTCCCCCCACCCCCCACCCCCCCGCCACACACATCAATATCACTTGGACCTGGAATATTCTTGGATTAGGAAAAATCCCTCGTAGGTCCTCGGTCTTTTTGTGGTACCTGCCAACACGCTTGGATTGGCCAAGCCGCACAAAACACGTTAATAACTATGTGGATTTCCGTCGGGGAGAATGAAGCAAAACGCAAAAGCAGAGTAAAAACCCAGATAGAGCGGAGGAAGCATTCATCTCCTAGGTGGTTACAGTGAATCTACAGCCTGCTGTCATTATAGGTCCGAGGGTCAGTTCCTGAGCAGACTCTCCCTTCTGAAGTCACTGCAGATACAGCAAAATAGTCCTGCATGATCACTGGCTAGCTAGGGGCTAAAATAACAGCTAGTTGACGGTTAGTTGAAAGATCTGGCAATAACTGCCAACCTTTGTGTCAATAACCTGCCTCTGCACTTGTTTCGCACTCTGTGTAACTGATTCCCTGAAATACCCCTTCATAAGCATGTGCGCGGGATCAGCGAGAAGAAAAATGAGCGTGGGTTCGAACAGGAACCCGCTGCGGACCAAAACACATCCGAGCGCAGGAAATGAAATCCAAACGCGAACCTGCAGGCATTTTTGAGCATCAAACCCAATTTCAAATCATGTCAGAACTGTTGACGTATGGATTTCGCAAACATTTACACGGACCTCCTGATACCGCCTCAGATCCATCGGCCCGACTGTATTAAATGCGATCCAGCCACGAGCCTTTAATCTCGTCCAAATTCACAGCTGGTACCCAGAAGCCCCGTCCTCCCAGACGCTTGACCCGCCGGTGTCCGGTGACTACCTGGGGCCGTCTGGCCACCTGACTGCGGAGGCTTTGAGAGATTTACAGCCCCCAGAAACACCCTCCTCCGTTACAGGCCAGGAACGGACCCCGCATTCAGAGCCCCCACACCGTGGGCCAGATGCACCAACCCCAACCTTCTGCATATGGCTCTGTTTTTTTCTCCCCTTAATTATGCTTACGGAAACAAGGAGGATAAATCTTCACAGAGCAGCCAGGACCCTGCTTTAGGACGCCTGCAAATTGGGATAAATTCCTGCGCTATGTCATATCAGACACGGGAACGCAAACAAAGGGCTGTTTTCGTACATTTCTTCTGCTCCTATTCCCAATAAAACCAGTACAGCTCGTTAAAACCTGTTCTGTTATTCCTAATTACGCACAAAACTGTTCCAGCAGAATCAAGGATTCAAGCTGAAGGGTAAAATGTATTTTTTTTTTTTTTTACAAAAAAGGAATCACCAGAGTTAATGAAAGCCTCCACCAATACCTAATTGCGTCTGATGTACAGCTGTAGAAAAAATCTAAAAGAAATATTTTTAAACAAACCTGCATTTTTAAACCTTGGTTTAATCTTGGTTCTGCTGGCAGAAGGCTACAATGAGCGGCAGGTTGCTTCCAGGGTCAAAATTTCTAAGACAGCAGTACGCAAGAATAAAGTGAAGCAGGAGACACTGGGAACGACCAGAAACCAGCCAGGTAAAGGGCGGAAGCGACATAAGGAATGGGAAACATTTAGTGTAGGTGTGAAGTGCACTGCTAGGACAGTTAGTATCAGGCTCCAAGAAGCAGGACTGAAGTCCCATAAAGCAAGGAAGAAGCCCTTCATTAATGAGAGACAGAGAATATATTATTCACAGACGCACACCCATAAACCGAGGAATGAGTGAAACTAAAAATTGTGCAGTGGTCTCTTAATTTTTTCCACAGCTGTATGTACAGGTTACGATGTTCAAAACCAATTTTTGGGTCAAACCCATCACTCCAGATACATTCTCCCAATCAAAAAAAAAGCATTAAACTAGAGATTCAAGTAACACCCCCTATTTTTTTCCTCATTGTACAATGTCAGGAACGGTCAAAGCAATGCGGAACCGGGACCGGCGACCCGCTTGCAGGGATCCAATTTAGCATGTGCTGAATGCTGATGCTAATGCGAATGCTAATGCGTGGGGCCTGGTTGAAGCTGTGCTCATTAGCAGATCTGCTCCATCCACACAGACAGGGTGCCACTCCTAGCATGCAGCAGCTGGTTTTCTCTTGGTCCTCGAGCCTGCAGATTTCACTTTGTGTATATATGGCTGTAAGCATGTCATGTTTTTATGTCGGTTTTTAGTCCTCCACATCAGCAGGGGGAGCTCTTTAGCCATGTTAGGAAGAAGCAGCCCTGGCTCTAACTTTCTGCTGTGGGGTGATGGAGACACGGTTAAGGTGTCAGTATTGCAGCGGTAAGATGTGCTATGAGTTTCTAATGTATATTTTGATTTTGTGAGGAAACTTTTGGTTTTGTTTGCCTGTGTTCATGGTTGTTATACTATTAGAACCCCTGCCTTTTCTATATTTCTTCTATATTTATATACATTTTTTAGCATGACGATAACTGTTGCTAGGTGAGGTGTTACAGTATCTCATGTATAGCATTTCTTTGCTTTTTGAGAAGCACAGTTGAACCTTAAAGGCCATGGCTGGTATACAGGACGTCTTGAATTACACGCAGATCCCTGCGGTGGGATCCTCGGTGGCATTGGCCTCAGTAACCTAACAAAACAGACAGTCACCCTCCCCTTAGCTCCCCCCCCCGGCACCCGTGGTCTGTGTCATCCGGGCGCTGTCACCGCCGATTCCAGAAACGGCGTCAGAAACAACGGCAAAGGAAAGAGAGGAGCCTTACTTCAAAGACAAGTGTCTCGTTCGTCGGCCCCAGCGCATACAGGCTCTCCGGCTGGCCAATGGACCGCTGGTAGTCAAACACCGTCCCAGCAAACCAGAACTTTCCCGGCCAATCAACGGTCCAGTCCCCAGTCAGGTGGTATTTCCCCTTTGGGCTGCGGACAGCCAGGTAGCTGGTGGACGTTTCCATCTCACGCACATGGATGCTGCGGGCTGCAGCTGGGATGGTGACTATGGGATAATACTCTGTAAAAAGACCAGGAGAGAGAGTTCTTTCCACGTGGTTTTTCACGGTGAATGATGAGTCCTTCTCCTGAGTCACGCCTTCTTTTAATGTCACTATAGATTACTTTTCTCTGGAAAATACTCTAATGCCTCAGTGGCAGTTTGCTCTGGGGCAGCTAGTGAAGCACCTTCCCATACCGTTTGCTCGGTGCTGCTGAAGATACTGGCCCTGGATGAACTTGCAGGTGGAATTGTCCCCCTTACAAATGCCACAGGCATCCAAAGTCGCCCTTGAACCCAATACCTGGTCACATCCAACGGGCTGCAATCAAAGAACACACAATAGTCACTGGTCACAGAACCAACACCCTTTTTCAGGAACGCCCATCACAATGTGGGAGCAGGCACCCTTAGAGGCCCCACCTGGAAGCACAGGCACAGGGTCGGGTTCTAGTATTTCATAGCTCACACACTCATGACGATTTATAGATCTCTATCCAACTAAACTGCATGTTCTTGGATCAGAAGAGGAACCTGAAGCATTCAGAGGAAACCAAGTACATCCACAGGGGACATGCAAACTCAGTACACAGACAGTAAGGCCAGGAATCACCCCCACAACACTGGAGGTGATGGTACTACCCACTGTGCTGACTGTAATTAATCTTGTACCATAATGGTTATATTTTTATATAAATACTTGACACTACAGTGTATCAAAACACACTTTCTGTAGATCGCTGAATTTATGTAATGCTTTGTAACATTAAGAAACATCATTGTACCTCGCACAAGCCGTCGATGCAAACACCCCTGCCGTGCTCGGAGCAGGAGGTCCCGTCCTTCACCTTACTGGACATGGCAAAGAAGAAGTCAAAGTCCTCAGCAATGCAGTAGAGCTTGCAGATATCTTCCACTGGGTGGGAATGACAAGAAAATGACCACAGTCAAGAGTCAGAAAGAGAGAAAGGCAGGAATATATCTGCAGCTCAACCACCATAGCCATGAAGGACCTGCCCTCAACCTGTAACATCTAACACAGTCTCTGTTTCTGTAACATACAGGGAAGGTACAGCTTTACCTATCAGGGTGGCAACTGAGGTATTCTCTGCCCCATAATGCCGAGCAGAAAGCTCCACAGATCCACTTTTACAACTGAACTGGAACTAATGACTTTAACAAGAGCATAACATCAGCCTTGGTGACTCCTGAAACCCTATACATATAATAAAAAGCTGCTCTGCTTTCTCTTTCTGTCTTGGCTAAATAGACTTGAAAGGCACTCGGAGTAAAACACCGTCAGTGGAGCGAGTACAAATCACAACAGTGCAGAAGAAAAGCACAGGAATGAAAGCCCTGGATTTTAGCAATGAATTAAAAGCCTTGGATGAATTTACAGAAAAAAAAACAAAAGTGTGACGCCATGTGCAGCTCTGACATGTTAAAACGAGCGTGTTTGATTACGGCCTGGTTCTGACAGCAGCCGGGGGAAGGCGGAGATGCAGGCTCTGCTCTTAAGCGCTGAGAGAAATCGGCTGCCTGGATCTGGCACCTGCAGCTGCTCACAGACACATGGCTGGGGGGGGGGGGGGGGGGGGGGGGGAGGGATATATGCTAATCCGGATTTCCCTATTCTCCCATTTTTTTTAAATTTTCTGGAATTTTCTTTTATACCGTATTGTAATTCGAGTGGGGCTGCTTGGAAATGCTAATATCAACAATTCATCAAAAAAAATGACAACTTATAATTCAATGCCTAGCCAGCGAAAGCAGTTACCGGTGCCCCCATAATTAAAGAAATAAACTAAACTGGACATTTCATTGGATAACACTCTTAAGAGTAACACGATACCCCTAACATCCTTTTTCATTTGCTTTTTATGAACCTTTGCATTTGATGACATAGAGCATCATCGAGTGAAACCATCGGGTGAAACCATCGAGTGAAACCACTATTTTGATTCCCCGAATGACAACGGAATAAATGTTACGAAAAAGTGATGAAGTGCTACGTTAAAAGTGGCTCCACGGAATCACAGAACATGGACCATTAGCCCAACAGCAGATGAACCATCTGGAATGATCTCTAGAGGCAGGAGATTGAATTACAGTCACCGATCTGATCTTGCGTTCACATCTTACGGTGGCACGAGTGTTTGGTGTGTGTGTGTATTTTATTTTTTACTCCCAGACCCTTCTCTCACTTGCGAGTACATCCTGCCCCCCCGATAGCGGACCATGTCGTCATCGTCCTGCTATCCCGCCTACGTTGTTTGCTGCGTTCTAGACTTCTCAAGATCACAAGTAAATCTAGCCCCTGTCCGGATAGGCCGACAGCAGGAGAAAAGTGTCCTGGGGGTGCCCAGCTCCCTGGCCTCCGATAGGAGCAGCCAGGTACACGTCCCCCCCCCCCCCCCCCGTTTCGGAACCGCAGCATTACACTCCCTCCCTCCTGAGGACTGACAAGAACGTGTTTCACCAATAACCAACCATCTAGATAAATCCTGGATGCAACTTCACATGACAACTGACAGTGGCAGTATTCACCACCAGTCAAACCATGCATATGTGTGGGGCCCCCTGTTGGCCACCAACAGTTACTACACTAAATATAAATAATAATAAACTTACTCCATATTAAGGAGATGCTGAAGCAGTGTGCTCTGTAAACCAGCTAGCTAGGTACGATCTTCTGACTTTGTTCGCTAGACACTTGTTTAATTTTTTAAATATCTGGTGGGGGGGGGGGGGTTCCCAATTTTACTTTCTGAGTAACAACCAACAACCAACCAGTAACAACCAACCCGCTTCTCGGCTGATAGAGGAGGGTACTTTTCGTAACTTATGAAAAACACCACGTGAGCATGAATGGTTGACGCATCGTACACTACTCTGAATGAGGCCAAAAGTTCCAAAGTACCCATGGGAAGGTTGGTATCTGCTGATTTAATGAACTGCCCCGTCCATGGGTATATCTGTGGGTCAGTGCACTTCTTTGGCTCTTGGGGAGGAGCAGGCGTTATTTAGGGCTCTGTATGAGTACGGGGCGGGGGCCCAGGCTGCTTGCCCACCTTCCACCTTTGTGTAGGGCTTCCACTTGTAGAACCAGCCGCGGAAGGGCTTGCTGTTGTACTCGGCGCACTGCTGGGCACGGAAGCTGACCCCGTTGGGTGGGCACGGCCTGGTGTTGCACAGCTGGTGGAGACGCCCGGCGCCCACACAGAACTTTCCGTTGTACTGCGGCCTGCAGAGGGAGGAGGTATCCAGTTGGGGGTGGGTGGCAGGGGGAGACGGGGGTCACATGGGCAAATCACGTCACACCCAACAAAGGCTCTTCCTGAAGATAACAGGAGCTCTGAAGAGTGAAGATGAGAAATATGAGCTGCTTCATCTTCAAGGAGCTCTGTCTGTTGGCTCAGTTGATCATAAAGAGCAGCACACACACACACACACACAGGTTAGTAATTATATCATTGCGGGGACTCTCCCTTCATTCCTATGGAGAAATCTCTAATCCCAACATGACGACCTTAACCCCTACCGAGCCCTAACCTTAACCATAAGTAACCAAACAAAATATGAGACTTTTGGCATTTTTACGTTTTTGATTGCATTCACAGATCTTTGTGGGGACCCAAAAAATGGTCCCCACAATGTCAAAAAACAGGTTTTCATTACATTGTGGGGGACATTTGGTCCCCACAAAGTAATACAAACATAATCCACACACACAAACAAACACACAGGGAGTGTTACATTTTAGCCCATTACTGCAGCATGCAGGTTCAAACTTAGACACGCCTTTCTCAAAGGCGCAACAATAATTCCTCTCTTAGGACCGAAACCAGTAACCTTTCTGTCTTATATCCTTCATCTGCACCGCATATTTACTTAACATTACTGGGGTAATTTTCATGCAAAGAACTGAGATACAGCAAGGGTACAACAAGGCTATTCCAATTACAAATTAAGACTTACAACTCAGAACATAAGAACATAAGAAATTTACAAACGAGAGTAGGCCATTCGACCCATCAAGCTCGTATAACAATACAAGATCCCTGTATTGTTATTTGCTGCAGGACCCCCAGACAGTCCAAGGTTTTGCTCCCCCCCACCCCAGCTCCCTGCCAGACAGTTCACTGGCAAGGACCTGGGAGGGAGCAAAAACATGGACTGTTTGGGGGTCCTGCACAAATAACCGGGTTGGGAAACACTATTGTAACCTACAAAGGAAGTCCCACAGGATTTCATAAGGCATGCAGTCCAGTTAAATGAGAACTTTCTGGGTGGGTTTCAAGTATGTTGACTCAAAACAATGTAACAACAAGTTCAGCCTCATGGACCACAATCAGCTTTTGTTGTGCGCTACTTCTTAGCAGTCAGTATGACGCTACACATCCGTCTATGAATCTTCTAACTGGTTACCCTGGTCAGAGTCATGGTGGGGGAGGGGGAGGGGAGACTGGGGTACACCCTGGATATGATGGATAGTACACTTGATCAAATAAGAGCACATGCTATTGGCATTAGGGAGAATCTGGCCGCCACATATCTGCAACTGATCAACGCTGCTGTAAAATTTTTAAGTACCAATTAGTAATCACATCAATCTACAGCTGAAAGGAACGTGAATCACTATACATCACTTTCGGATCGTCTCCAAAGAATTCGTCTGCGACGTCCCGCTAGCCACATCGCGGTGAGATCCGGACACGGAATCACAGCCTGATCCAATTACAGCTCGCGCTCGGAGACAGATCAGTGCATATGGTGGAGCGTTTAGGGCCGGGAGGCAAGCGAAACGCGATGCAGCATCGCCGGGCAGCCGGCTCGGTCGCTCCTGCATGAACGGGAGTGCAATAAGAGGCAGGCCGTTAAAGCCACGGTGTTCAATTAATCCCTGCGTGCTGTGAAGTCAGAAGGGCAGGAAACAAACAAGTACCATCTGCAAAGGATCCTCGGTCCCCGCAGAAGGAAAAATCGAGGGTCATCCCGCCTCTTCTCTACCTAAACCACCTTTTACCTCAAATCCCAAAGCCAGGACGAAAGTATTTCATTACAGAATATATGTACAGAAGAATCCGAGGTAAGGAACTGAACTGTGACAGAACGTTGCCCAAAACAGACTCTACTGCTGTACCCTAGAGCCAGTACCTGACCAGAATTTCTATGCTAAAAATGTACAGCTGTACAGTATGTGTGGGTATATTACAAGTTATGACTTTTGTGTAAGCATCTGTTTACACATACAATTTTACATAAATTAACAAGAATGTAGTCTTTGGTTCCATGAGGAGAACTTAGACTCCCCGAAATCCCTCAACACAGAAGGCCAAACATCTGTCCCTGAGTTCCAACCTCTGTGGGATGGAGTAGCGATATCTATCTCCATCCCATATGCCCAATATAAACCTTCCTTTAACATTTGGGAGATGTGAGTAATACAACTGAGTCACTAACTTCATATTTTGGCAGGGTAGACTGCTACAAATGATAGATTTTATTACGTGTTTATAGACACGTTATAATGTATTATACATATTTATATGCAGTGTGCTTTTGTTTGGTTTTAATTCCCTACTTTGGAAAATTTAAATAATGCAAAGCAGAAATGTCAGGCATGAACAGGGCAGCCATGTGTAAATTGGTTTCCCAGACAATGCTGTCCAGATAGCTACCGTTCCTGAAACAGGCCATGAGAAGATTCTGCCCCCAGCAATTAGATGGTCTACTCTGCAGGCCATTGGAAGGTCTAGTCCCCAGCCATTAGGAGGTCTACTCTTCAGGCCATTAGAAGGTCTAGACCCCAGGCATTAGAAGGTCTACTCTGCAGGCCATTGGAAGGTCTAGTCCCCAGCCATTAGGAGGTCTACTCCTCAGGCCATTAGAGGTCTAGTCCCGGGGCCATTGGAAGGTCTATTCCATGGACCATTAGAAGGGATAGTCCCTGAAACTCTTCCAGATTCTTCTAAGATCCGTTGCAAGCTCGCCGCCAAAGAGGCATTCTTTTTTCCCTCTGACACTCAGACGGAAGCCTAGATGAAGCCCTGTAGATGTGGCCTCCTGCCATAGAAGCATTCCTTCTTCCCTCCTAGACCTAGATGGAGGCCTAGACGATCTGCAAAAACATGACCTGCAGCCTTTACACAGAAGCACCTGTGTCTCTCATAGCCATTCTCTAATCAGATTCCTTACCATTTAATTTCCTATTTGACACCAGACGTTCTCTCCCCTATCTCCACCCTGGGCTTTGCATGCAAGAAATGAAGCCACATATTGAAGCAATATCCCGAAACAGGTGGACTTCAGTTTTTCCGAGGAACTAAGAAAAGCTCATTTGACACAGTGATTCTGATTAAATCCTCATGAATACAGATCACAGGTCTGTAATTGTGACTGGTTTCCAATCGTCATTCCAACGATAAACAGCCAAGAACCAGGGTCCCAAACTTCACCTATCCACTGTTTTTATGAGGAACTCACTTGATGAAAGACAAAACAGTCCCCAGAGAAGCAGCTTTACTAAGGCAGAGCTCAGATTAAGAGGAGGCTGTCAATAGGTGTGATACTCTGTGAAGCACAGAGAATCTGAGCAATGGAATATTAAAGTAACTCAATGGCCTTCATCTGCAGTCCATCCTGCAGGCAGCTAGCTGGCCTGTTGGTGTTAGACCTAATTCTTTGTCCCCTTAATTAAACAACCCTCTCTTAGCGATCGCTGCTCCCACAGCCAAATCCCACCACGTCTGATATACTGTATGTGAGATGTTCAGACACTGGCATATGCAGTGCTGAGCAGTAACACAAATTATCTGAATATAAACTGCGATCTGCTTTTACCCTGAGCTGTGCATGCCCACACCTGACCACCTCGTGACTATGTCGACGTGCGGAGGTGATGAAAGATGCCGTTTGGCACCATGGTGAGGGACGTACCCTCGTGACCCAATTTGCTCACATGAACTCCGCAATACGCGGCCCGATATTCAGCCTACGCAAGAGCTTCGGAAGACCAGACAGACACCGACATTCAAGAACGTACATTTGTTGATATTATGCTTAATTAATGGTTTACATTTCTACAGAATTGCGTCAGTTTTAAAAAGTCACGACAGCTCTGTGACTGAACCCAGGCTACGGAAAGGACGCGGACACGTACCTGGGGCTGTTGCAGTGGCGTTCCCTGTGCATCACGCCTCCTCCGCAGCTCCGGGAGCAGTCGGACCACATGGACCACGTGGACCACTGGCCGTGGACGGCTCTGGGCCCCCCGTCACCGAATTTGACACAGTGGCCCCTCCGGCACCACTGGCTCGCACATGGAGAGAGTGGGAAGAAGACAGAGTCAGCCACAGCAAGAGTGGGGCGCCCCCATCTCCCTCCCCAGGTGGTGATTTGGGCCCGCGCCCAGCCCTGCACCTGGGATACCCACACCCTACTGCCGCAAGCAGCACACACCCAAACACAGCACCCCCCCACCACCCCGTATTCTCTCCTTTCAGAATGTACAGCACAATAAAACTCTGCTGTCTTACACAATGAACCCAAAGCCCTGTACTGTGGGAGTGGGGATGGGGGGGGGGGGTCTAACAGCTGCTCATCCACCAAATGGGGGGAGGAGATAAAGGGAAACCCGGGGCCGTGGGGAAAAAGGTCACTCTCACCATGTCCAGCCCGCAGCTCGTACCCTCCGCAGCTGGCATGAATTTCGTCTCACATCTGTGGCCCGCCCTGTGGCACCACAGTGATTTGCAGATGTCCTGCGTGGGAAAGGGACGGCCTCTTAGAATGAGCATCAGGCCCAGAACTCGATCTCCGCTCCTAGGGACACTCCCCAGACTGAGGGACCAGCCTGCGCTGGGCACCCTTTTGAGATGACACACAAAACTGATCGCAGAAAATATTTCAAGTCTATCATTTACGTTTCCAAATAAATGTCCATCGTTTTTGATTATTTAATGCCGCTTCCATACAGTAGTTTCCGATTCCTATCTATCCAGTTGGGCAGTTTCAGTAAAGAAATTCAAATGTCTGCAAAATCCTTTTTTAAAGGGTGATGTGTGGCTCAGCGTGCTAGGATGCAGTGCCTGTGATTGGAAGGTTGTTAGTTTGAATCCCAAGGTTGGCAGAATGATGTCACTGCCAAGCCAATTATTCCAGGGACTGGCCTTTAAAAGTACATCGATTTGGATAAAATCGTGTGCTAAGTTAGTATTATAGCAAAGGAATCTCCAAGCATGGGCTCTTCACACGAACCAACCAGCATGTTTTATTCCTGAACCCGTATATTACTGGCTGCCCCCCTCACTGTCTGCCCAAGCCTGCATCCCATCGACCTCACCCATCATGGAAGGTTTACATGTTTACGGCCCGTGAGACAGGTGGTGTCATGTAAAACAGGAAGCTACAAGTTCACCTTTAAAACAAAATCTCAACATTCGCCACAGCCTCTGCTGCGTGTCGCTCTCATGGTAGCCCAGTAAGCTTTATGAATATGGAAGAGATGGGAAAACACAGCAATTCGTCACATGGGTGTTTCCTTAATACCCAAGGGAATGTAATAAAATGTTAACGCGGTACGTTTAATTGCTGGAACAAAAGTGACTGGAATGACTGGGGAGGCGGAGCTTGTAGGTACGAGGCGGAGGACAGCCATGCTGGCCCCCTGCCCAGTCGTCTCTGGCAGGCTGTCTGGGGCGCTATCAGCATGCTAATCCACATCCAGGAGCTCCAGGCTGCCCGGCTCCGGGGCCCGTATACAGAAAGCTTGCTAATTAGGGGCCCCGGCGGGACACTCTGGCACACCGACGGCCCAAATCCCTCTAATTAAGAAGAGGCCGCACTCGGGCCAAAGCCAGGCTCGAAAAAGCCCAACAGAGGGTCTAGTAGACAAAGGGGAGCCACTCCACGCACCATGCCGAGGGCCTGACCCCCATAAGGAATGTGGGCTCCCGGGGGCCGACCGCGATGACTTGAGCCCGCTGCTATTCATGTGGGATTAACCCGTCGCCAGACAGGTGGAGCAAAAACAGGGGCCATTCTGGGAACCTTATAAGGTAGGGGGCATAAGCAGGGCGATAATTCATACAGGGGGCCCGACCCTTTTCATTAGCCAATGATACGTTTTGAATGACAGGGGAGGTGGCAGTCTGGGGAGCCAATCAGCATTCAATTGGGGCCAGTGGCCCCGCCCATATATACAGCCCTGGGCAGAAACCAGACTGGTGTCTTAAAGTTTTATGGGCCCACCTCTCAGATGGGTGACCTGACTGAACTGTAGCCTCAATAGGGAAAAGAACGCTATACGAGCAAATAAATACTCAAATAAAACTCAGCAGCTTATGCATTCATAGTCCACAGAATCATAAATAGGTGATGAGATCTAAATAAGAGATGTTTATTACATTATTTAAAGTCTAGGTTAACTTGCAAAACAACCAACAAATGAGCTTCAAAGACGTGAAATTAAAAATGAACCCCCACGCCCCCCCCAACCACTACCGTCTCCACACAGCCCTGTCACATCTGCTGCCTGGAATCAAAATCAATTATGCAGTCGGTTACCTTCACGAAGTCCAGATTACACAGCTTTGCCCGGGAGCCAAACTGCCATTTGCACTGAGTGTCGGCATCGTAAAGCTGTCCGGGGAGCCGCTCTGGGTACTTGTACAGGCCGATCTGCTTCGGCTCGTCCGCCAGGCAGGAGGCTTGGGCCGTACTGTGGGAAAACAGGCCCGTCACCGCCGAGCTATGAGCCCCGAATACCCCGCAGAATCCAGGGATCCCTGCGTCTTCCCCGCTACCTGGGAGGAAGTCTCTCAGACGGGCTCACGACAGGAAGCATTACCCCACAGACATAATCACTCAATTATAATGCATTGTGTATGATTACTGAGTATATTTAATCCCCCCCTGACCGCCGCCATAGCAGGACCGAGTCCTTCATCTATAACATGAGTGTCTATGAGTGTCTACAGTTTTGGTGAGGCTGTCAGTCGGTTGAGTCTTTTTTGTGCCTTAGCAGCGCTAGGCTGTGCCACACAGCGCCAGGTCATTCTGGGTGGGAACTGGGGGACGGGACGGGCGAGGGGGCGGACGGATGGCGCCCATGTCGGATACCCCGCGGCGTCGTTGTCGACAGAAGGAGCCGGAGAATAATGACACCAGGAAAATTTAGACGGATGATACGGGTGGGTACGTTTGTAGCGGCAAATGCTGCGATGGTGCATTGTGCGGGTGTCAGGGGCTGCGAGTACCTCAGGAAGCGGCGGAGGTACTGACGGCTGCACGCAGACCAGGAGAAGACGCCGTTATTCCCAGCCAGTGTCGGAGACATGATATTCCCCTCCGCCTTCCTGCAGGGGTTCCCCTCACCGTCGTGAATCATCCCGAAACTTGAGGACAGACACCAGAGCGGGAAATCAGAGAGGGTGGAGTCTCGCTGAGGTCATCGCTCCCGCATGCCGAACACAATGCGACTGGCCCCGACATCGAATCTCTGACTCGGACACAACCTTCAAAACTGCAGCCTGATGCCATGAAGTGTCCACCTCAAGCTGAGCAAAGTTACTGAACATTAAACATGTTTTGACAGTTCAGCGTGAGACTAATTTCAGACCTAGCTTCTTCCAGTTTGCTTAATAAATCTCTAAGCATGTATTTATATATACTTGTAGATCATAATCTTTGGAGCAGAATATCAAGTGTAAAATAGCAATGCCCCTTCATCTCATTGGTAACGCATAAACAAAATACAACTTTCCTCGCATTCTTTTTTTAACACTGTCCAGGATTACGTGACACAACATGTACCATCTAGAACTTATTGTTCAGTCTCCTCATCTATGGTTTCAGTTAATTCCTTTTTCCATTAATTTTGCCTGTGACATAAAAAGTGTCATGTCACAGGTGGCCGTGGCTGAAACGGCCTATTTCGCCTCCCTGAAATAATCAAAATGCTACAGATGAAGTTCACTGTGTCCTCGCCAGGAGAAACGCCGCACGAACACCGGCGTCCATCCACAAGAGTCTCCGCACGCAGATAAACACGACACGGCGATGCCTTTTCACATACTTATGGCCGGACTCATGAGCTATCGTGAAGGCCAGGCCTAACCCAGTGTCTTCGTTTATGGTGCAGCTCCGATGCCTAGAGCACATCCCACTTATGGGGGCAAATCCTGAAAAGAAAGAAAGGAGGGAACACAGGAAAATGTATCACTGAAATGCAACAAATATATAAGCGCGCGCACACACACACACACACACAAACACCAGTCCAGTCCTTAGGAACCCTCAGGCCACACTTACGTACACCTGAACCAAACTACCAAAAACACCAAATACCTGGTACAGGTGTGCCGGGAACTGGTACAGAGAGAAAATATGGACTGTCGGGGGGTTCCTGACGACTGGGTTGAGAAACACTGTAAGGTCAAACCTCTCTTATCCGGACATCCAACATACGGGCACCTCCCTCTACGGGCAGCTCAAGGCACGCGCATGTGCAAATTAATTTTACAGAACCAGCAGCTGCTATTACGAGCCCCAGTCTAGGGTTGGGGCGTAATAGAGTGAAAGGGAAAGGGGATGTGGAGTAAGGGGAATACACAGGGTGCGATGGACAAGGGAATACACGTGGACAAAGGGGTATTTTGTAATATTTTTATTGACACACCACGGACACAGAACAAATAAACCCGGTGCAAAAGGACTCTGGAGTGGCTATAGGGAAAACAAGAAACAGAACCCAGCTTCCGAACGCAACCCAAAGCTAATTTACCTAAGTGTAGAGAAAACCAAAACACAACGACAAATTCTACACCTTACTCCCTATCCAAACAACAGCACACAACATAAGCTCGCAAAACAAAAATGGCAGTCACTCCCTATGCACCTGACACACACAGAGCATACACAGAGATCGAAGCGGCAAAGTCCGAGGGCTGTGCGAAGACGTTAACCGAAAACCGGGCCAGAGCTCGAAACAAAATAGCGAGTAAACCCAAGCAAAAGTACAGACAAGGGCTAAACGAAAATCAGAAATCCAATAAACCAAACAAATCATACACAGTAATATCCATCAAAGAAAAGCAAACCAACAACAATAATCAATAAGTGAGCAGAGCTCCCGAGACGTCTTGTGGTCGGCGTCGGAAAACGGAAGTGACGAGTGCCGCATACAGAGAGTAGTGGGCGGAGTCTGCACGTGGGGGGCGGAGCGAACGTCAAATGGAGCACGAGCTAAAGGACGAGGCTGTGGGCGGAGCTGAACTTACAGCGGCGCGTAAAACTGTGCAAAATCCATGGCTTCAAAAAGGAAGCGTAGTGTCATGTCCCTCCAAAAGAAGCTTGATATCGTTACAGAGATACGAAAAGGAAAATGACACAGAGTTGTTGCAGACCCTTTTGGAGAGGCAATATTTGAAAGAGTAAAGAAAAAATCATCCAGCTCACTTGATGCTGGTTATAAACTGGATGACCACTGCAAAAATAAAACGGGATGATTCGCTAGCTCAGACTGGAATAACATCCTATTATAATTCAATTCAATTCAATTTTATTTATATAGCGCATTATCACAACATTACATTGTCTCAATGCGCTTTACATTTCTGCCTCGTAAGGACCCCCCATTGAGTAAGCCAAAGGCAACGGTGGCAAGGAAAAACTCCCTAAGAGGAAGAAACCTTGGGAGGAACCAGACCCAAAGGGGGAGCCCATCCTCCAGGGGCCGGCAGATGAGTCAAACAAACAAGATTATAAGCCTTTCACCTCATAAATATCATGTAGTTTGTATGTGTACGCATGTACATGTATGTTGTACTGTACTGTACATGTGTTTCTAAGTTATGGACATTTCTTACTTACAGGTCCCTCGGTCCCATTCTGCCCGGATAAGGGAGGTTTGACTGTACCAGTGTAATTCCACTAAAATACAATAGCATGATGGAAGTCTTTAACCATGATGCCACCTGTTGTCCAATATTATCACTGCATGCAATTCCGAGCACAGATGAGAAGAAGTACATAAAGCTGCAATAGGACTATCAGTAGCCTGTAATGCTAAATTTAATGCTAAAGTAGAACATCTAGCAGCATGCATGGAGTAAAAACAAACTGCGTCTAATGCTGAAAATCACTGTTAACTTTCTATATCGTGGTTGGACAGGGACCTGAACAAGGTCTCTGTTTTGGACCCCAACCCAGTCCAGTCGCGACAGGCACCTCACCCAGGGTGTCACAAGGCTCATTTTTCCAGGAGCAAATGTCCAGTCCCGTGAGGAGTACAGCGTGGTCATGCCTCTTCCCATTGTTCCCTATCAGGCCCGACTGCCACTGGCAGAAGCTGTTGAGGGATTGGTCCGCATGGTGGTTTATGGACAGGCCCAGCTGCAGCACAATGTATAGGGAGAGTGCATTAGCAGGGCTGCACTTACGCCGAGTGTGGGTGCTCTCACAAGAGCAGCATTAGCACCGGTATGGGTGAAGTCGAGCCCAGTGCAGTATTAGCATTCGCATTATCACTACCATGGGTGCAATCACACCAAGTGTAGCATTAGCATTAGCTTGGGCGTAGTCATGCCAAGGCAGAATTAGCATTAGCGTGGGTACAGTCACGCCTAGTGCAGCATTAGCATTAGCTTGGGTGCAGTCACACCAAGTGCAGCCATGTGAAACACAGCATTAGCATTAGCATTAGTGTGGTCACGCCAGATGTAGCATTAGCAGGGGTGCAATTGTGCCAAGTGCAGCATTAGCATTAGCTTGGGTACAGTCAACAACTGAAGAAGCCTGATATGAAGGCAACTGAACTGAAACAAATTAATCCATTCTATCTTCCTGCAAAAATTCACTATACACTGTTATCCATCATATTTTTTTTTATCCATCCATCCATCTATCACATTTCATTCATTAGCACATGACTTATTGCACTTACTGGATCTTCTTCAAGAAGGATTAGGCTGACGACAACAATATTGATATCAGTGCCAATTGTGCCATCTTTGAAAAGGCTTGAGACCTATAAAAAAAAACCAACAATTACAGTCTGCACTCGTGATTTGCGAATTCACAGATCCACGAAAATTTCATTGGAAACAAACTTATTTGCATCCGCGATTTTTTCGCAGATCTGCGAAATCCTTGAAAAACCCTACAGAAGGGTTTATCGTTAATTTTCATAGCAATTTATAAGTTGTCATGCTTTTAAGTGAAAAATTAGTAAGAAAAATTTTGTTAATGAAGACTCTACTGTGTGTTTGGGGAAAGTTCAAGGCATACAATATAAATCAGTTAAAAAATCCCTTAAAAAAACGTGGCTTTCTTATGGAATCATTCCTTTTTATGTACATACTGTACTGTACCTTTACAAGATGTGAATCCCATCCTTTGGAACGCTAATGGTTGCACAAATATTAGAAAATAATTAGCTATTTTGTAATAGTAAGTACCCGTTAACGTAAATTCACACCCAAACGCTCCCAGGAACCCCCACCTGAAGAGGGAGATTCTGTGGAACTGTAACTCCTCATGTACGCTATGCAGTCATTTTCATATTTTCACCATACTGCACAGCTAATTCATAATCACCATTATCTTAAATCCATATTCATCATTGGTGACCCATACTACTGTTTTTTCTTAAATGGGTGATTCCTGTTTTGGGCCATATATTCATGTCCTCGTGTTTAACTGGCTCTTATTCTTTTATAAAATTAGACAAATCTTTATAACAAACCTATTTTATTATGTATTTAGGTGTTTTCTATTGCTCTAACAAAGATGAATTACTATTTTTATCTTTTTACATCTCTTTAAAGCACCATTTCTCTGGAATATGCGCTCATTTTAGCATGTCCCAAATGCAATGTATTCAACTTCCTCAGTAAATATAAACTATAAAATTATAAAAACCAAAACTTATTCTTTATTATTTTGATAGACTAGGGTATACTACCTTTAGAGAAAGAAACAAATCTGGTGAAACTTATTTTCTTTTCTGTAATTATATAATATATTATATGTCCCCACATTGGTTTTCCACCCTGTGAGCCTCTAGTTTCTTGGCTCCCTAAAAAGATTACAAATCCATACAGCCATTTCCACAAAGTGACATCATTTGTTTTGGGGGAGAACTTCAACTGGAAGACTAAGGTACGCTTTAACTGTCACTCTCTCCTGTATTTTTCTCAATTTTATATTGTACACCGGTTTGAGTTCCACCCTGTTAGTATATATTATGGGAAATATTTATTGGAAAAAAATATTTTTTGAAACATGTTAAAAATAGCTATTTAAATGCTGATCAGCTGTAGAGTGTGTGCTAGCTAAATGTTGCTCACTCAAAGAGCTAGAGCTAAATTAGCTAGAAATGTTCCACCCTGTTAGGTTCCACCCTGTTAGGCTATGTATGGGATATGCAGCCTACTGAGTAGAAATTGTACAATATTTATTATTTTCATTAAAATGACTTGTAGATTTATTATTTGAGTGTATTTCTTGTGCATGATAATGAATAATAATGGTATAATCAAAAAGTATTATTATTATTATTTTATGAGTGTATTTCTTAATTATTTATGTTACTACAGTGGTATTATTATTATTACTATTATTACTAGTTGTAGTAGTAGTATTGTTGTTGTGAATCTGAATCTACTTGTTAAGAGGCCGACTCGGTTCCACCCTGTTATATTCTATTACACCCTGTTAAGCAATGATTTAAAAAAATATTCTAATCACAACAGTAAGTGTTTGGTATATTTGTATATTGTTTTGTTAAATGAGGTGCATATAATGCATCTACATATACTTTTATTTCTAATTAATAAAATTCCACAAACAAGACAACAAAATGGGGACAGAAAATGCACAGATTCCATTATTCTGACATTGTACTCTTCATAAAATTAAAACTGTTAATACTACAAGAATGAAACTTTTATCATAGCAAAAGGGACACATTGTATCCCAGAAAAGTTCAGTATTGTTTGACTTGTACATTATTTAAACTCTGTGATTACCATGTACATGTCCCTAACAGGGTGGAAAACGTCTGGAGAAATGTATACAAAAAACATTTTCAACCTATAGTCCTGACAAAATGTTTAAACCATAAAATACAATCATTCCAATTTTCAGAAAACAGACAGCCAAATATGTGGTCCAAAACAGGAATCACCCAAATATTTTTAATGTGTGTATGTATTTTTGATCTCTCTCTCTTTTTCGTAGTTAGTACACACATAGTATTTTTACAACTTATTATTTCTGTACATCTTTACGTAATTTTTAATTGATTGAATATCTGTACCCTGTACGTACGTGTTTCCTTTACGTATTTTATTGAATTATACCTTGGTTACGTATATGACTTCTGTCGAGAAGTTTACAGTCCCGTTCGTTTACTCATTTTACCTTACTGTGAATGCAAACGAAAACGGCAGGCAATGCCGTGTTCTGTGAATTAGTAGGGGTAACATTAGTATACTGTACTGTAAACGTGCTAGTGTGACAAATATCCGTTAGGTGATACTCTATTTTTACATCAAACATTTGTTTTTTTTAAAGGTAATATATAAAATTTTAAATAAAATTAAAGTCTTTTGGGAGCATTACTGGGGTCATATTTAGGGTTTAAACTAAATAAATAAGCACATATTGCCAACGGGTTCTGGAACCTAACCTGGCGAATGTCCGAGGTCTGACTGTACAGCACATCAGACATAATTACTCAGAAAAATGTCATCTTTATTACTATTAGCTTGTGTATAAAGGAGCCTGCGCTAGAGGATCAGCACTCTTTCCCCAGAGTGGCATCTTATGCTGTGTGAAACACCCTAATTTTTGAGGCAACGGAAAGTATCTTTCATCTCTGTGATGCCTCCACCGCCCCTCCCCCATGGTTCCCAGTGAACCCCCCCCCACCGCGGCTCACCATGTTCATGACAGTCAGGACGTAGGTGGTGACATTCTCCCTGCCATGCTTCTCCACCATCTTCCGGTCGGCCACCACCAGCGTTTCCACATTCAACGCCCCTGCCTTGCTGGGGGGGATGGGCGACCGTTTGGGCCGGCCCTGCCCTCCGAACTCGTCATCCATGGCAAGCCAACCCTCAGCGGGGGGCTTAGGGGCATCTGTGGTCCGTGGGGGACAGGGCACGGGGAAAAAAAACGAGAGAGAAGCTTTGGAAAAGAGAAACAGATCAGGGATATTCTTTTCCGGGACAGGAACAGGCTGGGATGTGTTGAGAGATCAGGATATGCTCTCGTATATTCAGTTAAAGAACACTTTCCACACATTCATTGCCAAATGCCGGATAATCTGACTGATGCATCAAGGCCATTGGGGCTTCATAAAGCCTAACAAAGACATACACACATTCCTGAATCCTGCAGGACCCATGCTCACTGTGACCCGACATGATAAAGCATGATAGAACAGACTCTACGAAACTGAAAAAAACAAGTGTGAGAACAGACTCTACAAAACCTCCTAAGAGTCACTGTATCATCTCTGCAAAACAGACTGTAAGTATCCACAGCAAGAAATGTGGCCATTTCTGGTCCTTTTCATTACAGGGCAAAACAACATGAAGAAGAGATCCTCCAATTATTTCCCTGATTAAAAAGAAAACGTATTTTTAATCTCAGATTTTCTGACATCCCAGTAATTCCAGTTTCACCACAATTCCTATCCCCTTCCACTCTGCTGACATCTATTTCCTGTTTGGATTGATGTCTAGGCGAGCTATCCAGTATAAGTTTTGCTAAATATTATACAAATTACACAAGGTCAAAGGTCAGACCAGGAAAGGAAGTAAGTTCCCTTACATACATTTCTTGCGTCGTCCACAGAAATGCTGCCTCCCGGACTGTCCTTCCCACCCCCGCTGGAGGCCGTGGTCAGGGTGCAGGGGGGACCTCGAATGGATGCGGTGTTCTGCGGAGCGCTTGTAAAGCACGTGTGGGTGGTGCCCTCTGGGGGCGCTGTAGTTGTGTTCTGCTGCCAGATGCTGGGGCAGAGGGGCGATGAAGAATTCCTCATCCGATGTCCGGATCAACCCTGACTGGCGAAGATACAGAGACAAACAGAGTTAGTCCTACGGGAAGGGTAAGCTAAGAAACATTAGCATTAACTAATTAGCAGTTGTTATGGTAAACTCCAGAAATATGACGAAAAATTATCACACAACAGCAAGCATAGTAGCAAATTATGTAGCAGTTGCTTTTATACAAAGCAATTTATAATTCAGGGAGCAGAGCAAGCCAGTCCCAGGCGAAATTGGGGTTAAGGACCTTGCTCAAGGGGCCAATGATGAAATCACTCTGTCAACTACAGGACTTGAATCGGTGAATGTCCAGTCACAGGAACAGCCTCTTAACCCCAGAACTCTCCTAAAGAAACGATTAGCTAAACCCGAGACCAGGTCCATCAGCATCACAGCACAATCACAAAGCAATTTAGATATCCAGCAACAGCCACAAGGATGGGATGATATCATGAACACGGCGTGTTTTTAACTCGTAATTATGATATTTCTGTGTTCTCGATTATATACTACGGGCAAGGCTTAAGATGACAGGAGAAGTTTCTCTTAAAGGGCAAATAAAAGCCTACAGAGAGAAAAGTCATGTAACACAACCCAACCCGGGGCAGTAGGCTTTCATTAAACAGGCCACCTTCTGGAGTCCCAGACAGAGTGAGAAAAGTTACAAAAAACAGAGAAGTTGATACATTCATTCAGAAACCAAGGTGTCTGTAAAAACACATTTCTGGAGGGTAATTAATTGTTCACTGCTGCTGTCATCTGGTAAGAAAGGCCGGTATTGATCTGATAGCCACATATGAATCCACGTAGGACTGCATCCCAGCGAAGGGTTTTGGCATCTGGGAGGACCTGTGAGGGGAAGACCGTCAGCAGGAGGTCTCAGCAAGCTGACTAAGAGAAGCCAATTGGCTTGGTAAGCTGTCTTAGCAACAAACCGGGCCTTTCCTGGCCAAATCTATATTTATCACTAATATGATGATATGATGGGTTAAGTTGGGCGGAATGCTTGCAGCCGTTAAGGGTCCCGGAGCCTTTCCACATCCATTTGGCAATGAGACACGCCGTTCGTCTCACCCGCCGCTCACCTGCAGCCCATCGATACCATTCGCATCGAGCCCTGACTGGAGAGCTCCGTCCTTTCTCATTACTCCCCGACAGCTGTCCAGGAAACACACATTCACACAGTCCCCCACCCACAAATACCTAGTCTTCTCACAGCCTGAACCTTCAGATACCCACCCAAAGGTCTGCCAGCTTCCACACACGTTTGGCACATGCGTCAGCCCCATCAATCGCATGCAACTCGTCTCCGACGTGCGAGGCCATTCTATACTATGCGGTATTTCCTCAAGTCCTGGAAATTCAGCAAGTGTCATGCGATATTCTTTTTCATATAACCGATAAAAATTGAACTTTAAAATAACACAACCAAGCAATATTTTCATTAGAACTTACGACGAGCTAAGGTAGAGTAAACGGCAACACCAGGGTCCTGTTAGAGTCTGTTCAGAGCTCTCCGGCACAAACACAGCTGTAAATACTGCATACCGCTGCCATTCTGCAACAAAGGCTTCCAGTCATTGGGAAACGCTAATTAAGTACAAGCTGACTGAATTTTACAAAATGCTTAGAAAGAAGTCTGGCAGAGCAGCCGGAGATCTGGAAGCAATGCAGGGGCGTTTCGGTTTGTCTGTGAAACACGTCAAGTTAGCTCAGTTAGCAAGTGACAAGGGCGTATTTAGCTTGGCCTCACTACTGTATCTGGCTCATTGCTTGATAAATGTCCAGGCCGGGACAGACCGTGTTCGTTGTATTTCAATATTTTTATATCTGGTAATGTCTAGCGTGAGTGATCCGAGTTTAACGAGACAGTGACGGTCCGCGCTCGCCCCCAGGCCGCCAGAATCGGAGCTGTTGCTTTTGGACAGCTCCTCGTATAAGGCTTCCGCAGTATTAGCTGCTCATGCTATTCGGCAAATGGCTCCCGTCAAGTGACCGGCAGAAACTGGAAGCCAGAGACCTGCTCACATCCATCATAGTCGGTGTCAATGAGAACAATGGCGGCCAAATACACGGGTGCTAATTTTTGTGTATTTTCAGCCGTCCACCGATCGACAAGCAGCTCAGCTGTTGCAGCACGAAAGAAAGACAATGATTGAACAAGGAATGAAATTTCTAACGATGTTTGGCTTCCTTTACTATGTCAAATTGACAGCCTCGTTTTAGAAACCAAGTTGCAGCGTCCAAACGTTATCTTGCTGACAGTATGAAATCATTCCCATCAACCAATCAGTTTCAAATCTCCTTCTGCTATGTCCTTCCCTTCCCTGGTCTGCCAGTATCCAAAGCCCACTTGCAGTCATGTCTAGTCCAACTCAAAGTGTGCTGATGTTTCAGCATTCCCAAGGGCTGAATTCACCCCAATCCACACCCCCCATCCCACTCCGAACCCAAACCGAATATCATTCATTACCCCCTGTCTATGTGGGCAGCTTTCACCACACCACGTCTACCCCTTCCCACTCTCCCGGGTGACAAAGCAAACAAGTGTGAGGACAAAGAGCTAAGCTGGATAGCCTGCTGTGAAAACAGCAACCAGACTGGCAACCACCCCCCAGTCCATCAAAGCCATGGAAAGCTACAGATCATACCCTTTGACCCCTTTCACAGTTACTCCAACTCCCCAGCTGACCAGAGACCAACACTACTGGCTCCTTCCATCTCACATCTTGATTCACCGCAGCTACGTATTCCTGATAATTACTCTTTGATACCTTCTATGCAATTCGACAAACTCTTCCAGTTTCCTATTTCACCCTTTTATTCCTTTTGGGACTGGTGTGTGGCTCAGGGGGTTAGGATGCTGTGTTTGTAATTGGAAGGTCTCTAGTTCAAATCCCAGACTTGGCAGAGCAGTTTAAATGTTGAATCCTCGAACAAACCTTTAACCCCCATAACTGTAGGGGCTGTCTGGCTGTGCTTTCTCTCAAAAATGCATGTTATGTTGGATAAACATCTCTGCTAAATATGTAAATGTAATATTGATGCTACCTCCCATTCCACATAACTACCATATCACAGCCCTGCTCTCAGTGCCCTTAACTAGGCTAACTCTGTAAAGATGCTCCTGATGAATTGTACAGACTGTGTCCACAACACCTCCCCAGCAACTCATTCCCTCAATATACACTGATATCCACCCCTACTGAGCCACTGTGGAGTCACAATTACCAGGCCATCAAGCCTCTCAATGCTTCCAGAAAGAGGTTCCAAAGAACCATCTGCAAAGTGATGTACCACATGCTGAACATGACAATTACTGACTTTATGAGCTAACCTACGTACTGTGTCTTCTTGTCTGCAAGACCTTATCAATCATTTCAGTGTAAAGAGCAGGTTTATCTAAGGGTCTTTGAACTGCCTGATGACAAAGAAAGCAGTAATATTTTGCTGGATATATGCTCATCTTGGCTTACTCAAAACATTTCTTTTGAGGCAGATCACAAGGAAATTGTTTTTTGTTTAAAAAATTAATACAACCTATCATTATCATAATAAAATTACAGACGGAAGCTTAGCTTGACTAATTCCGCGGCGAAGCATTTTTACGATGAAATTCATCCCAGAACACGCTCGAAACTCACAAGGGCGAGCTGACTGAGTTGTTTTTAATTGCTCGTAAATCAATTGTTTTGTAATGTTTACAGCTTCAACCGACTCTTTCCACCTCATTTGTCTCAGTCTTCTCTGTCCTGAGTTTACCTTAAAACAAAATCACCAAAGACAGGCTCTTCCCTCGTCCCCGGCAAGGGATCGTCAACATTACATCACCTATCCGACACAAGCGTCACACCCTGGATCGAATTCTCCGGTACAAATAAATCAGGCAGGGGAGAAACCATTCACGCTTTTTAACGTGACATGAGCGGTAGAGAACGCAGCCAAGAAACACGAAAAAGCCTGGAAGGTACCACTACTGTACATCTCTGCGGGGTAACTCACCGACACTGCTAACTAAGGATCTCATTAGCATCAGCCCAAAACCACACTTTCATGCCCCCCCAGCACCCCTCCGCTTCCGAATGTCGGTCAGACACCCTAGAGGAACTCCACCATTAGCACATCCTATTGTCTACCCCCTGTGACCACATGCTTTTCATTTGCCTGACAGACACCCAACGTTTTACTGTAAATATCTGACATTCTCCTGGCTGCTAGCTGATCTATACGCCTGCACCTATGGTACCGGCAGGAAATGGAATCCATCTGTCATGACAAGGATCCATCTATGCGTCTCAGAGGCACAAACTTCAGCCAAAAAAGACGGGAGGACCGAAAAGAAGAAGAAAAATCCAATCAGACAAATATCCTAAAAACACCATGTGTACAGTGTAATTAAGCAATCAGGCACTGCGGACCACACAAAGGAGCGCCTCGTCCCTGTGACGTTAACGAGTTTCCTCATTAAGCACTCTGCAACAGATCGGTTTATCAAGTGTGGCGACATATTTTGGGATTTCCGACGATTCCACTAGCGACGGTTCCACCATTACCCTAACAAAAATGCACAGCGGCTTAAGTAACATTGTTTTTATGTATTTGTTCGTTGTCTTTATAGTTTTGTGCCAAACACTTTCCACAGGTACTAAATGCTTGCAATAAACAGAAGCATTCAGCATTTACTTCTTTACGGACTGGTTACGAAAAAAAGACTTGCATGTTAAGGAATTTCACAAGGACAGACCACAGGAATTAGAACCCTGGTCCCATCACTACCTTTTGAGGAAAATCCTACAACTTTACACCTACGTGCCAAACCCCTAGTTATCCTTTTTAAATTTACACTTGTAAGGGTCGTGCGAATTACAGTTCTTATGCTGACTGCTTCCTTCAAACGTTTCAACTTCAGAGGCATCCCCCCACTTCATCCATCTGCTCTAAAATATCATGTTATATAGGTATGAGGCAGAACGACGATGCATTTTAAATTTAGAGCCAACAAAGTATCACTGGTGTTC